CCCATTTGTCCCCCACCTCCTTCTTGTACACATAATTGGGCAAGAAATTCAAAAAAAAATAAATAAATAAAAATCAAATAAAAATGAGTGGTGGAGAAGGGGGTGGTGTGTTGGGAAAATTAACGATAACTTGGACGAATCGAGAGTCGTGTAGAACACTATCAGATTGAATATTTTGGTTGTTCACTCCAAAATTCAATCGGATAAAACTCGAAAGTATCAAGAACTAAATGTGAGAATTGCTATGAAAAATCCGAACAAAATTCAACCATGCCTCGCGGGAATTTAAAGACTTGGGGCGAGAAGGAGAAGACACCATTCGCGTCCATTTACACAAGGCACGCAACTCTTCGGCGAAAAAACCCCTTGGAAAATAACGCTATCCGAACGGAATTTTCTTTTAAAGAAAATTCGAAATATAAAATTCCAATTGAGTTTTTTAACATAGCGCCTTGCCCAAAATAAAAAATTTTCGAGCATCTCGACCCCAGCCAGGGGCTCTGCCCCTTGGACCCCGCAGGAGCTGCCGCCCCTTGAAACCCTGCTTGGGGGCGTTGCCCCGAACCCCCGCCAAGGGGGCGCTGCCCCCTTGGAACCCCCGATGTAACGGGATTTTTATTAACAAACTCAATGAAGCGTGCACTCCGCACCACCAAACTTCTTTGATGATTATTAGGATACCATTGGTCGTAGTTTTTCCAATTACACAAAATATATAACATGGTGTACATTTGGGGTACACTTTTGGTGTACCCCTAGCATTGCTCTTTTTTATTATGTATATTTATTGATCAATTGATAAAATAAAATAATTTTGTCATCACTCTTATTGTAGAACTATTCTTTGGATGCAATTTTTTAATATATTTTCTATTTTTCATTCTACACTAATTTTTTTAACTAATATTTATTAGAAAATAATTCAACTAAACATCATAAATCGAATAGAAGTCTTATTTTAGGAGGGAGTATCAATAAAATGAGACAATCTATGGAAGAATTGAACACATACATATACTTCCTCCTTCCTTGAGAATTGTCTACTTTGAAATTTTTTTAGAGAAATTTTTAAACAACAACAAACAACAACCCAGTTAAATGACTTGAATCCCACAAAAGTAGGGTCTGGGGAGGGTGTGTGTACGCAGACTTTACCCCTACTCGAAAGTAGAGAGGCTGTTTCCAAAGAGACCCCCAGCTTAAAGTTGAAAGTTACATTGCTTGAGTAACTGCTACTTCATTCATTAAAGAAGCACAGACAGTTTAAATATCAATTTTGATTTATTTCATCATATTCCAAAGCCAAAAAATGGTGAAATTTTGGCTCCATCGGAGATGATGGAAATTTTTAAACTTTGACTTCAAATTAAATAAAAATGATACTCCCTCCGTTCCACAAAACCCTTTCGGTTTTTACTTTGGGAAAAAATAAGGAAAGTGTAATTTTGGTTGACTTTATCCAATTTTGCCCCTGATGTGATGGGAAAAAGTAAGATGTGATAGTTTGGTTATTAGTGAAAAAGTATGATGTGATAGGTAGGGTATGAAAAAGTAGAGGTAAAAGTGGTTTTTTAATAAAAGTGGAAGTGTTTTGTGGAAAGCAAAAAAAACAAAAGATGAAGGGTTTTGTGGAACGGATGGAGTATTAAATATTAATATAAAAATAACTTAATTAGATTTATTATATCAAATATTTTTAAAATATTATGTTATCTATTTAACATATAATCTGTATTTTATTTAATTATATGTCAAATGTTAAAAACACTTAATTGAAAAAAGTCAAAATTGGACAAATATTCAAGGAGGGAGATAGTATGGAGAGAGAGAGAGGATATGATCACCTTGAGAATGTGGACTATCATTGCAATGAGCAGTGGAGGGTTGATGATTGGGGAGGAGAGAGCTGAGCTGAACGGTGCCGAAATTATTACTGGTTGCCGCATCGCTCAGTAATAATAATAATAAGAGAGGGAAAAAGCAAAAATAACAAGATGGATACATAGTTTTGTTTAACATATACTCCGTATATTATAGGGAGAAATACCAAAGTAAGACTAAAACATTGAAAATATACCAAAATAGGACTTCCATGTTTTTATTCCGAAAATAGGACTTACATTACCAAACATGGTCATATACATTACCAAAAAAAAAGTATAGTAATTTGCACATGTATACTGCCACA